GGGGTCCCCGAGGGAATTTGGGGGGTTTTTGGGGGTCCCAGGGGGAATTTGGGGGGTCCTGGGGGGGTTTTTGGGGGTCCTGGGAGGGTTTTGGGGTCCCAGGGAGGGGTTTTGAGGTCCCCGAGGGAATTTGGGGGGCACCAGGAATTTGGGGGGGTCCTGGAGGGGTTTTTGGGCCTCCCTGAGGGAATCTGGGGGGTCCTGGGGGGGTTTTTGGGGCTCCCGGGGGGGTTTTTGGGGCTCTCCGCCCTCACCAGTCCATGGCCGGTTCAACCCCTCGGTTCCCGGTCAGCGCCAGCGCCTTCGCCCTGCGGGACCGGGGGGGTCACGGCGGAGCTCCGGGACACCCCAAACATCCCCAAAACGCCGTTCCCGGACACCCCCGGCTCTGCCCCCGTCCCTCCCGCGGGGCTCCCGGCCCCTCACGGCCACACCCGCGGTCTCCGCCCTCAGCCGCTCCCGTTACCGGAGCTACCGGAACCCTCCCCGGGCACGCCCGGAACCTCTCCCCCGCTGCCCCCCGGGTGTCCCCGCGGTGTCGCCGCCCTCACGCGCGCCGGGCACCGAATCCCATCTCCAGCAGCGCCTCCAAGGCCCGGCCGGGCCCGGCATCATCGCCCGCCGCCATAATGGCGGCGCCGGGCGTCGCGTCACGTGGGTGGGGTCACGTGGGGACGACGGCGGGGAAGGGACAAAAAGCGGCGGGAAGCGCTCGACACAAAAATCGCCCTAAAGCGACCCCAAAACCCAACCAAAAAAAACCCCAAAAATATCCCCAAAAAAATCCCTCAAAAATATCCCAAAAGCACCCCAAAAATATCCCAAAAATCCTAAAACAATACCCCAAAAATATCCCCAAAAAATATCCCAAAAATCCCCCAGAAATATCCCAAAAATCCCCCCAAAATATCTCAAAAATATCACAAAAATAGCCCAAAAATACAAAAAAAAAATCCCAAAAATATCCCAAAAGTCCCCCAAAAATATCCCAAAAATCCTAAAACAATACCCCAAAAATATCCCCAAAATCCCCAAAAAATATCCCAAAAATATCCCAAAAGTCCCCCAGAAATATCCCAAAAATCCCCCCAAAATATCTCAAAAAATCAGAAAAATAGCCCAAAAATACCAAAAAAAATCTCAAAAATATCCCAAAAGTCCCCCAGAAATATCCCAAAAATCCTAAAACAATACCCCAAAAATATCCCCAAAATCCCCAAAAAATATCCCAAAAATATCCCAAAAGTCCCCCAGAAATATCCCAAAATTCCCCCCAAAATATCTCAAAAAATCAGAAAAATAGCCCAAAAATACCAAAAAAATATCCCAAAAGTACCCCAAAAAATATCCCAAAAATCCTAAAACAATACCCGAAAATATCCCCAAAATCCCCCAAAAATATCCCCAAAATATATCCCAAAAATATCCCAAAAGTCCCCCAGAAATATCCCAAAAATCCCCCCAAAATATCTCAAAAAATGAGAAAAATAGCCCAAAAATACCAAAAAAAATCTCAAAAATATCCCAAAAGTCCCCCAAAAATATCCCAAAAATCCTAAAACAATACCCCAAAAATATCCCCAAAATCCCCAAAAAATATCCCAAAAATATCCCAAAAGTCCCCCAGAAATATCCCAAAAATCCCCCCAAAATATCTCAAAAATATCACAAAAAAATCCCAAAAATACCTCAAAAATATCCCAAAATCCTCCAAAAATATCCCAAAATCCCCCAAAAATATCCCAAAATCCCCCAAAAATATCCCAAAATCCCCCAAAAATCTCCCAAAAATCTCCCAAAAACCCCAAAATCCCAAACCCGGGACCAGATTTGGTGGAATTTCAGGTCTGGGCTGGATTTGAGGAGAATTTTGGGGGGTCCCGTCTCTCTCCCACCCCTCAATTCCCCTCCCCCCCCCTCCCCAAATGAACCCCAACTCATTTTTGGGGGGGTGGGGGAGGGGCCGAAGCCTTTATTGAGGAGCGCCCGGGGGTGGGGGAGGGGCTCAGCAGCTGGAGCAGAGGTGGCGCTGCCGGGGGGAGGGGCCGTCCGGGGGGTGGGGGAGGGGCGTGA